TTGTTTAACCACTATGCTGTATAACTGAAACTAATACAAGATAATATTGAATGTCCAGTGTAATAGAAAAATAAAATTGTATATATAAAATAATAAATATTAACAGCATCTCACATGCGGGGACTCCACCCCTGCTGCTGTGGATGAAAATAAGTCTACCAAGATATGATGTGCTTGGGGAGAAAAGGTGACCAATCTCTCAGAGGAGAAGGGTCTCAAACACCTCCTTCACTGTGTCTTTATTGAGTTCAGCCCACACAGAGATACATAGTATGCACATACTATGTGCATAGTATGCACATAGTGAAGCTCATCAATCAATGTCCAAAAAAACTACATTCATGAAAAGCTGACATTATCTACAGAAAATAATTGAAGAAACAGGGATTATCTCTAGTCAGGGTTAGTGAGATATGCTGACAACAGAAGGTTGTTGAGACATGTATCATGAAGGCATGTATCCCTGTGCTTTGAACTCATACCAACAGGTATGAGTTGGTCTAGTTCATACCAACAGGGCTATCAAGCAAGCCTCAAAGGAAACAATGTACATTCTTTCTCAGGCCAGATTTGCCCATGGGAGCTGTTCATTCCAGTACAAGTCTGCAGCTGCCTCTGGCATTGTTTTCAGGCTGAGTCAGGCAGGGGGAGCAAAGCAGCCAAGAGATTAGGATACTTCTTACATATAGAATAAGAACTCAGGCTACGACAAAGCCAAAGGGTGATGGGTCTTTCTGCCCCTTCTCTATAGTCCCATAAATCCTTCCCTGATGGTCCCTTCATGACTGTGCCTGTCTTAGGTTGTTCCTCACTTGATGAATCTTACCTATCATTGGCTAACCAGTCATCTACCCAGGCCAAACAGGAGGAAGTGTGGGAGGCAGGAGCAGCACTCCTGCTAGGAGGATAGGTTCTGTCTTAGTGCCTTATGGCCCCAAGGCCTTTTCACTCAACCCTAGCCATGGGACTCTTTTGTCCATTAATGAGGCTACAGTTCCTGAAACCAGGCAGGATGGCTCTCAGCAGTCTCAGAGAAATTTGGCATACCTTTAAGTGAACCAACATATAGGTTATGGAAATGGCAGGAGGAGAGGAGAAAAAGAACAAAGCAGAAAAGGTATTCTAAGAAATAATAGTTGAAACTTCCCAAATTTGCTGAAAATATTAATCTACATATCCAATAAGCTAAACAAGCTTCCATATAGGATATACTGAAAGAGATCCATACCCAGACACATCATAATAAAAATTCTGACAAAGAGAAAATCTTGGAAGCAGGAGAGACAAATAATTTGCCATATACAATGGTGCCCCCCAAAATTAAGAACTGACTTCTGATTATAAACAATCGAGGCCAGGGAGCAGTGGAATAATATATAAAAAGGGCTGAAAATAAAAAATGCCAGCTCAGAGTGTTTCCTCTCTCAGAAATGAACATGAAATAACACATTTCCAGATAAACAAAACATGAGTAAATTTATTGCTAGCAGACCTGAAGCAAGAAATTCTTCATCCTGAAAGCAAATAAGCTCATATAGACATTTGAATACACATACACAAAACAAAGAGCATCAGTAAAGATAATTATGTAATTATAAAAGCATGAATGAATAGTAATTTTTCTCTTAACTAATTTAAACAAATTTGTATAAAAATATATAACTGTCATGTTGATCCTGCAACATCTAGAAAAGTAATGTATTTGAAAATAACAGCACTAAGAAGGTGGAGGGGAGCAATCCTGTTATAAAGTAAGGAAATGGTGATAGGTGGGAAATATATCCACAGGAACAAGAGAACTAAAAATGATAAAAGGCAAATTAAAACTTCTACAAATGATACATGCTCTCATTTTCTCAACTTCTCTAATACACGTAAAATTCTATAAGTAATAATCATAAAAATCTATTGTTGGAATTGTGACATATACAGACATAGTATGAACAATAGCATAAAATGAAAGAGTGAACAAAGCTATATAAGAGTTATGATTCTATAGCTCTCTTAAATTACACTATAAAGTTGAAATAGTTAGCCAAATAGTTCATTCAGTTTTTTCTATAAGATGGTTTTAACAGTGCTTAGTTGTCTTTAACTCCACTCAAAATAATTTTGTTAGAGTGTATTGTGACAGCTTTCATATCAGTGTGCATTTAAAAAAACATGAAAATTGGTGTATTTTTGTGTAGCCTTTTAATATTGAAGATGGAAGAAAATAAGCAACATTTTTGGCATATTATTTTTTATTATTTCAAGAAAGGTAAAAATGCAACAGAAATGCAAAAAAAAAAAAAAAATTTTTTCAGTGTTTGAAGAAGGTGGTATGGCTGAGTAGTATTTCATTTTATATATGTACCACATCTTTAAGCATCCATTGAAGGACATGACTGGTTTCTTTGTGTTGGCTATTGTAAATAATGCCATAATAACCATATATATCTATCTTTATGAATAAGTGTTTTCAAAAATTTTAGGTAAATAACCAGAGGAAAGATTGCTAGGTCATATGATAGCTCTGTTCTTAATTTTTGAGGAACTTCCATATTGATTTTTCAGTGACTGCACCAATTTACATTCCCATAAGCAGTGTACAAGGGTTCCCTTTTCTTCCCATCGTCTCCAACATTTGTTTCTTCCATTTGAATAGACATTTCTTTTTTTTATTGTTGTTACAGTTGTCCCACCTTTTCCCCCATTGCTCACCACTGCCCCATCCCTCCTCACTCCCACAGTCAATCACCACCCATTGTGCATGTCCATGAGTCTTCTATTTGTGTTCTTTTGCTTGCCCCTTCTCATTCTTTCCCCCATTATCCCCCCTCCCTTCCCCTTCTGGTCACTGTCAGTTTGTTCTCTATTTCCATATCTCTGGTTTTATTTTGCTCATTTCTTTGTTTTCCCGATTAGGTTTCACTTATAGGTGAGATCATATGGTACTTATCTTTCACTGCCTGGCTTATTTCACTTAACATAATGTTCTCCAGTTCCATCCATGCTGTCATGAAGGGTAAGAGCTCCTTCTCTCTTTCTGCTGCATGGTATTTCATAGTATAATTGTACCATAGTTTTTGTGACCTACTCATTTACTGATGGGCACTCAGGTTGCTTCCAGCACTTAGCTATTGTAAATTGTGCTGCTATGAACATTGGGGTGCATAGGTTCTTTTGGATTGGTGTTTCAGGATTCTTAGGGAATAGTCCTAGCAGTGGGATGGCTAGATTGAAAGGCAGTTCCATTTTTAGTTTTCTGAGGAAATTCCATACTGTTTTCCACAGTGGCTGCAACAGTTTGCATTCCCACCAACAGTGCACTAGGTTTCCCCTTTATCCACAACCTCTCCAACACTTGTTTGTTGCTTTGTTTATGATAGCCATTCTGACTGGTATGAAATGGTATCTCATTGTGGTTTTAATTTGCATCTCTCTGATGGCTAGTGATGTGGAGCATCCTTTCATATGTCTGGGCCCTCTATAGGTTCTTCTTGAAGAGGTATCTATTCAGGTCTTTTGCCCATTTTTTAATAGCATTGCTTGTCTTCCTGCAGTGGAGTCATGTGAGTTTTTAATATATTTTGCAGATCAAACCCTTGTTGGAGATATTATTGGCAAACATGTTTTACCATGCTGTTGCTTCCTTTTCCATTTTATTGATGTTTTCTTTAGCCATGCAGAAGCTTTTTATTTTGATGTAGTCCCATTTGTTTGTTCTTTCCTCTATATCCCTTGCCCTCGAGAGTGTATCAGTGAAAATATTGCTGTGTGGGATACATGAAATTTTTCTGCCTATGTTTTCCTCTAGGAGTTTTATGGTGTAGCAATTTATATTTAAGTCTTTAATCCATCTTGAGTTTATTTCAGTGTATGGTGTAAGTCAGTGGTCTGGTCTAATTTTTTTTTTTTTTTGGCCTGTAGCTGTCCAGATCTCTCAACACCATTTACTGAAGATCCTATTTTTACTCTATTTTATGTTCCTCCCCGCTTTGGAAAATACTGACTGACTGTATTGGCATGGGTTTATTTCTGGGCTTTCTATTCTGTAATTTCCTTTTTAAAAAAATATCTGAGGAAAAATCACCACATGCAATTTTTAAAAACTGAGGAAAAATTGACATATAATGTTCAAGTATATATCATATACTCATAATGTTTCAAGTATACAATATAATAATTTGTATTATGCTTCAAAGTTATACAAAGTGATCATTCTTTTCCTTGTGATGAGACCTTCTAAGACTTGCTTTTTTGACATTTTTCAGATATACAATACAATATTATTGATAATAGTTGCCATGCTGTACATTATATCTCCATGACTTATTGTATGTCTTTAAGTTTATACTTCTTGAACAGCTTCACCCATTTTCCCCACTCTCCTTTTGCCTGACAACCCCCAATCTGTTCTATATCTACTTTGTTTTGTTATGTTTGTTCACTCATGATGTAATTTTCGATTCCTCATATAAGTGAAATTATATAGTATTTGTCTTTGTCTTATTCCACTTAGTATAATGCCCTTGGGGTCCATCCATGTGGTCACAAATGGCAAGATTTTATTCTTTTTATGGTTGAATAATTCCACTGTACACATATACCAGTTTCTTTATCCATTCATAAAGAAACTTTGGTTGTTTTATTTTTAATCATTTTTTATTGTTATTCTATTACAGTTGTCCCAATTTTTCCCTCTTTGCCCTTCTCTTCCCATCTCACCCCCCACTCCTGAAAGTGACAAGAGGGGAGGAAGGAAGGAGATAATGGTGGGAGTAAGGGAAAGGGACTAGTCAAACAACATGTATGAACGACCTACAGACATGGACAACAGTGTGGGTATTTGTTGTTTCTTGTCTTCTTGATAGCCATTCTCATGGGTGTGAGGTGGTGAGATATTACTAATTCTAATGAGCAATCCATAATTATATTTTGAAGTCGAGGTGCTAATGAACAGTTTGTTGTCTCCTTGTGAAAACTCAGCTTCTGTTATGTCTTCTCCTTGATCCTAGGTCTCTATGCTGCTACCAGTGGAAAGGCCTATGTGAATGGATATGACATCTCAAAGCAGATGGCCCAGATTAGGAAAAGCTTGGGTTTGTGTCCCCAGCAGGACTTGTTGTTTAATTACTTGACAGTATCAGAGCACCTTTATTTTTACTGTGTGGTAAGCCAAAGATATTTTCCTTTTCCCCTCATCCTATTCATGTATTTAATATAGATTACCTACTATCAATATCCTTATTCCTAGAAAGCTCAAAATTTATTTCTGATTAATTCTCCTTTAAACCTAAAGAGAGGCAAAGGAAAGAAGACACTATGTAGATGATGTAAGAAAAGAGCTGTTGTTAAATATTTCTAAGATAAAGTTGGAAAAGCCATCTAAACTCTGGCTCCTTTTTCCAGATGAAAGGAATCCCTCGAAAGATGTACCCTGTGGAAATTGACCATATGTTGTCTGCTTTTAACCTGCTAGAAAAGCAAAATGCATTTTCAGAGTCACTGAGTGGAGGAATGAAGCGCAAGCTCTCCGTCATTATAGCACTTATAGGGGGCTCCAAGGTAAAAGTAAAATAAAAGCTAAAAATGTGCCCACTATGAAGTTGGTCTAAAAAACAAACAAGCAAATGAAACATAACCAGAGACATAGAAATAAAGAACAAGCTAACAGTAATCAGAGGGGAGAGGGGAGAGGGATAATGGGGAAAATAGGAAAAGGGACATTTATAAAGGATGCATGGACAAAGCCAAAGAGGGGTAGGATTGAGGGTGGAAGGTGGGAATCGGTGGGGCAGAGGCAGTAGTGAGGGGAAAATGGAGACAACTGTACTTGAGCAACAATAAATGAAATCAACTGACACAAAACCAAGAGCTGATATGTACCTAATACTCTAAAAGGACCCTCCCAAATCCCAAATGGGTTCACATTATCAACCTTGTGGTTATAAAATGGTCATAGGTTTAGAATCAGTCCAGAATTCCTAATTTACTTTTAGTCTAAACACATTATCTTAGCTCAGTTGGACAAGTGACTGAAATAGCAAAAACAGAGTAAGCCCCATGACTGGCAAGACACTAGTGACACTAATACATAATGTTTAACCATGGTCATAGAATTGTTCTTCTGTTCTTTAGGTGGTGATACTTGATGAGCCCACAGCTGGTATGGACCCATCCTCAAGGAGGGCCACCTGGGATCTCCTTCAGCAGTATAAACAGGATCGCACCATCTTACTTACCACCCACTACATGGACGAAGCTGACATCCTGGGTGACCGCATAGCCATCATGGTGAAGGGATCCTTGCGATGCTGTGGCTCTTCACTTTTCCTCAGAAAAATATATGGTCTCTCTCCCTAAAATTATTCTTTGGAGATGAATGTCTTATATTCTAACATAACTTTCATGGATATTGATATCTTAATATATTTAACATAATTTTTCCTCTTTTTCTATTTATCAAAAACTTCAGTGAATTCCTGTTCTATTAACTGCCTTAACTATGAGCCTCTTTTTCCTTTGTTGTTATTCAAGTACAGTTGTCTCCATTTTCACCAACCATGCTCCCCCACACCTCCCACACTCAATCCTAGCTTCTTTGGCTTTGTTGATATATCCTTTACATATGTTCTTTGATGACCCTTCCCCCATTTTTCCCCCATTGTCTCTCTCACTCCTCCCCTCTGGTCAGTTTGTTTGTTATTTCAATGTCTCTGGTTATATTTTGATTGCTTGTTTGTTTTGTTGATTAGGTTCCACTTATAGGTGAGATCATATGGTATTTGCCTTTCAAGCCTGGCTTATTTCATTTCATAATGATCTTCAGTTCCATCCATGCCACTGCAAAGGGTAGGAGTTCCTCCTTCCTTTCCACAGCATAGTATTCCATTGTGTAAATGCAGCACAGTTTTTTTGTAAACTCATTTACTGCATTCAATTATTATATATTGTGCTGCTATGAACATTGGGGTGCATAGGTTCTTTTGAATTGGTGTTTCAGGATTCTCAGGGTATAATCCAACCAGTGGATTTGCCAGGTCAAAAGGTAGTTCCACTTTTAGGTATTTTGAGGAAATTCCATACTGTTTTCCACAGTGGCTGCACCAGTCTGCATTCCCACCAGCAGTGTGCTAGGGTTCCCATTTCTCCACAGCCTCAGCAACACTTGTTTGTTAATTTGTTTATGATAGCTACTCTGATTGGTGTGAAGTGGTATCTCACTGTGGTTTTAATTTGCATCTCTCTTATGGCTAGTGATGCTGAGCATCCTTTCATATGTCTCTGGGCCCTGTGTATGTCCTCCTTGGAGAAATGTCTGTTCAGGTCCTTTGCCCATTTTTTAATAGGATTGTTGGTCTTCCTGCAGTGGAGTCATGTGAGTTCTTCATATATGTTGATCAAACCCTTCTCTGACATATGATTGGCAAATATTTTCTCCCACATTGTGGGTTCCCTTTTCATATTGTTAATAGTTTCTTTAATTGTGCAGAAGCCTTGTAACTTGATGTAGTCCCATTTGTTTATTTTTTCCTTTATTTCCCTTGCCCTGTGGGATATATTGGCAAAAATATTTCCATGTGAGATATCTGAAACTTTACTGCCTATGTTTCCCTCTAGAATTTTTATGGTATTGTAACTTATATTTAAATCTTTAATCCATTTTGAACTTATTCTGGTGTATGGTGTAAGATAGTGGTCTAGTTTCATTTTTTGGCATATATCAGTCTGGTTCTCCCAATACCATTTATTGAAGAGATTGTCTTCATTCCATTGTATGCTCCTGCCTATTTTGTCAATTATTAACTGGCCATAAAGATGTGGGTTTATTTCTATGTTCTCTATTCAGTTGTATTGATATATATGTTTTGCTTACAGTGGCCTTGTAGTATAGTTTGATATCAGATACTATGATCCCTTCAACTTTCTTCTTCTTTCTCAAGATTGCTGAGGCTATTTGGGGCCTTTTATGGTTCCATATAAATTTTTGGAACATTGTTCTAGATCTATGAAATACACCATGGATACCTTGATAGGAAATGCATTGTATCTATAGATTGCTTTGAGAAGTATGTACATTTTAATGATGTTAATTCTCCCAATCCATGAGCACTGTGTATGTTTCCATTTATTTGCACCTTCCTGAATTCTTTCTTCAGTGTTCTAAAGTATTCTTAGTATTGGTCTTTTACCTCCTTGCTTAAATTTAATCCTAGGAACTTTTTTCTTTGTTACAATAGTAAATGGGATTGTTTTCTTAATTTCTCCTTCTTATAGTTTATTACTTGTATGTAAAAATGCCATCAATTTCTGAATATTGACTTTGTAAACTGCTACTTTGCTGAATTTATCTATTAGGTCAAGTCTTTGGGGGATTTGTTTGTTTATTTTGGCAGAGCCTATAGGGTTTTCTATTTACAATATCATGTTGTTTGTGAATAATGACAGTTTTACTTCCTTCTTTACAATTTGGTTGCCATTTATTTCTTCTTCTTGTTTGATTACTGTGGCTAGGACTTCCAATACAACGTTGAATAAGAGTGGCGAAAGCTGATACCTCTTCCCTTCGCTGTTGGCTCCCTGTCTTGTTCCTGACAGGGAAATGTTTTCAGTTTTTACTCATTGAGTATGGCTATTGCTTATAAAAGTTTATGATCTATTTCAAGTCTATTTTTCTAAATGGTGTTAGGAAGTGTTGATGCTGATTTTTTTTTCATCTGAGTATCCAGAATCATTTGTGAAAAACACACTCCTTTTTCTGTTGAGTTGGCACCTATGATGAAAATCAATTGACTATTTATATATAGGTCTACTTTTGGATTTTCTATTGTTTCATTGATTGAGGTCTATCTTTTTACAAATACCACAGTCATGAATACTGTATCTTTATAGTAAATATTGAAAACAGGTGATATCTATACACTAACTTTTTCTATTTTTCAAAATTAATTTACCTGTTTTAGGCATTTCCCTAATGATTAGCATGTGAGCATCTTTTCATGTACCTCTTGACCATTTATTTGTGTGTTTTCTCTAAGAAATGTCTTACTCAAATCAGTTTTTGTTTTTTATTGTTGTCCAATTACAGTTATTCCCCATTTTCCCCCATTACTCTCCCCTGCCCTACCCATCCCACACCTCCCACATCCAATCCTCCCCCCACCCCATTGTCTTACTCAAGTCTTTAACACATTTTAAAATCAAGATAGTTGTTTGTTTGTTTTTGCTATTAACTTTACTACTGAGTTGAGGATCCTTATATAATTTGTAAAGTAATCCTTCACCTAATACAGAAATACTTTCTCCCATTCCCTAGGCTGCCTTTCCATTTTATTGATTGTTTCCTTTGTGGTGCAGAATGTTTTGGGGTTGATGTAGCCCCCACTTGTCTAGTTTTGCTGTTGCCTGTGTTTTCAGTGACATTTCAAAAAAGGTATTATCAAGACTAATGTGAAGAAGACATTTTAAGTATGGTTTATTGATTATGCTATTACAGTTGTCCCAATTTTTTTCTGTCCTTTATCTCCCCTCCACCCTGTACTCCTCAAACCTCCAGCATTCCCCCCTTAGTTCATGTCCATGGATTGTACATATAAGTTCTTTGATTTCTTTCTTTCCCATACCATTCTTAACCTCTTCCTGCCTATTTTGTGACTACCAATTATGCTTCTTATTCCCTGTACCTTCCCCATTTTTCCCCTCTGCATTTCCACTGACCCCCCCATGTGATCTCCATTTCTTTGATTCTGTTCCTATTCTAGTTGTTTGCTTAGTTTTTGTTTTCATTGTTTTTTAGGTACAGTTGTTGATAGTTGTGAGTTTGTTGTTATTTTACTGTTTATAGTTTTTGGTCTTCTATTTCTTAGATAAGTCCCTTTAACCTTTCATATAATAAGGACTTGGTAATGATGAGCTCCTTTAACTTGACCTTATCTGGGAAGCATTTTATCTGCCCTTCCACTGTAAATGATAGCTTTGCTGGATAGAGCAATCTTGGATGTAGGTACTTGCTTTTCATGACTTTGAATACTTCTTTCCAGCCCCTTCTTGTCTGTAAAGTTTCTTTTGAGAAATCAGATAATAGCCTTATGAGAACTCCTTTGCATGTAATGTTCTCTTTTCCTCTTCCTGCTTTTAAGATTTTCTCTTTATCTTTAATCTTGGGTAATGTAATTATGTTTGTCTTGATGGGTGCTTCCTTGGATCCAACTTTTTTTGGAGACTTTGAGTTTCCTGGACTTGCATGTCTCATTCCTTTGCCAGATTGGGGAAGTTCTCCTTCATTATTTTTTCAAATAAGTTTTCAATGTCTTCTTCTTCATCTTCTCCTTCTGGCACCCCTGTGATTCAGATGTTTAAAGTTGTCCCAGAGGTTTCTAAGCCTCTTCCCATTTTTTTAATTCTAGTCTGGTTGAATGTTTATTTCTTCCTTTAGTCCAAATAGTTGATTTGAATCCCAGTTTCCCTCCTTTCACTGTTGGTTCCCTACACATTTTCCTTTATTTCATTTTTCATAGCTTTCACTTCTTACTCTGTTTTGCAACCATACTCAGCCATTTCTGTGAGCATCTTGATTACCAGTATTTTGAACGCTGCATCTGATAGGTTGGCTATCTCTTGATCATATATTTCTATTTTTGGAATTTTGATCTGGTCTTTCATTTGGGCCATATTTTTTAGTCTCAGTGCACCTTTTATGTAGTATGGGGTGGAGCCTTAGGTATTTTCCAGGGTGGGGCATACCATGTTGCTTTGTTGTGGTGCTGTATGTGAGCTAGAGGTCCAAGAGGGAACAATGCCTCTTGCTCAGTTCTGGGCTGACTTTCAATCACTTCTCCCACTACCCACAAGCAAATTGGGCTCTTCTGGTGCTAATTCTGGGGTGGGTACATTCTAGGATCCTGTGGGTCTCTCTTCTGTGAGGCTGGGAATTTCTCCCACTTCAGCAAACCCCACAGGTTTTACAGTCAGAGGTTTTGAGGCTTTATTTCCTCCCAAGCTGGAACCCTGGTTTGCATTATCTGTTTCACTCCCCAGTTGTTCCTCCCAATTTATCTGCATGCAAATGTGCCACCACCAATTCTGCCAGCCACTGCCTTGCTGCAAGTCCTCTCTACCCCAGCTGCCCATCTGCAGAAGTCTGGATGAATATTTCTTTTTTAACAACTTGATTCTTGGACTTCTGTACAGTTCAATTTTCTGGCAGTTCTGTGTTTGTTTGTTGTTTGTTTGTTTGTTTGTTTGTTTTTGTGTTGTCCTTCTTTTGGTTGTATGAGGAGGCAAAATATATCTATCTACTTACACCTCCATCTTGGCTGGAAATCAGCTATTGGTTTATTTGATACCATA